CTCAYGTTGAGGTGCAGCTTCCTGTGTTTTAGTTTATGGCCATTGCTCCTTGTCCTGTCACTGGACACCACTGAAAAGAGTCTGGCASCAYTGTCTTAACATCCACATTTGAGATCTTTATGTACATAAATGAGAACCCCTCTCAATCTTCTCCAGACTAAACAGGCCCAACTCCCACAGTCTCTCCTCACAAGAGATGCTCCAGGTCYGTCATCACCTTTGTGGTCCCTGCTGGACCCTCTCCAGTAGCTCCTCGTCTCTCTTGGACTGAGGAGCCCAGAACTGGACACAGCACYCCAGATGTGACCTCATCAGGGCTGTGTAGAGGGGCAGGATCACCTCCCTCAACCCACTGGCCACTGTTCCCCATGCACCCCAGGATACCACTGGCCCTAAACACCAAGTTGTTCAGCCARTCTTAAGCCTTGGGTTACCACAGGGAGAACATGCTTAGTCAAATATGCAAATCTAGCCTCAAGATTAAACTGAATTTCTTTTTTTATAACATTGTGATGACATTTAATGCAAAGTCTGCAAGGCAAACTCAACAAGCAAATGACACTGAAATTACCTGCATGTGATGAAAATCAGTTCAGAATCTTCAACATTATTATGAAGTAATAGTAAGCCTCATGTATAAAACAAATGCACATGCAAGATAGAAAATGAATTGGCAAACATTTTTAAATAACATCTTTAATTAAAGTTTTTGCAAAGGCAAAATATTAAACTTAAAATAGGTCTTAGTACATCAAAATACTAAGTTCTCTAATTGTATTCCAAGCATGGCCTTTGAAACATAATATCCTGTATATCACAGAGGAGCAACCTTGATCTGCAATTGTACAGAATGAATTTTACAAACATAATAAATATATTTACCCCCTTACACATAACAGTATATGTACAACAGCAGTTGACAATAGTAGCTCAGAACAGCAAAAAAGGATAGTCCCCCACTCCATAATCTATTGGTACCCTATGCACTCTGGAACATGTCTCATTGGATGACTGTACATATAGCTAACCCAAGGTAGTTTCTCCTGTTTCAAAAAGCTCCTTTAGTTCCACAACATCTAATCCACCAAATAATTAAAAAACACTGCATGAACTGCCTGAAAAAAAAGTAGACAACGTGGAAATCAATGTACTGGTTTTTACACATTTCCCAACCAATCACAGCAATGGGAAAACGAGACTTTAAATGCCAGACACCAATACAGAACAATATGCAAGTTTCTTCATCTTGTATAGTCACTAATCTCAAAGWCTGAGAAGAACTCTCATCTCAGTCGGGGGTGTGTGGGTGGTGTGGGTGGCACACAGTGAACCCACGGTGCTGTGTAAGGCAGTCCAGTATCAACCCAGTGTGCGTTGCCCTAAAACCACTGTTCATTTCCTGGACATCTCATTGCATTCTACTAGGAAGCTTTTGCTTTGGGGGAAATTCTAGGGGGCTCTATTGTTTTTAAAGGAGCTTTTACAAATTGAAGGATTAAATCAATATGAACTTTAGTTAACAATGTCTCTAACTCCTTCACTGAAATTAAGAAATTTTACTCTGGTAGTGTTATGTGGTGAGATTATTACTGTGAATTGTSAAATGGTGGAATTATTTTCACAGACTCAATGAAGTTTACTTTAACACTCCTAATTGTGCAGCAGAAAGATAAGAAAACATTTATTTAAAAAATCTGTTACATGACGCAACATTTTTTTGCTCTCTTCTAGAAAATGTGCTTTGGAATCACATATCAGCCTTGGAAATAAACTCGGACCACAAATGTCACTTTAAATAGTGTTTAGGAAACTGAATGATGTCTAAATGCAACTTATGAGTACAATGCAGGAAACAAGGAGTATTGAAGCCTCAAAGAAATCTTGTTGCTAACCAGCAACTGAGGGGGAATAAAAACATATTTTATTTAAATAGTCCAATAAAATTCATTATGTGACTAAATTCTCTATTATCTCCTTAAAAGAAAACATATCAATTCATTTTCCACTTAGATGGTTTTAAATGATTGCACACACTAAAACCCAACAGAATTAGCGCAAAAAAGTTGCTTTTCTGATTGAAGCACTGCAGGAAATTTACTCTCTCAGGAATCATTGTCATACTGGCAAAACAGGTATTCTGCAAACTGAAAAGGCACAAGACTCAATTTTGCCCARTTGCTCTACAAGTTTCCATCAGCCATCATGGTTGTAATTCTGAAGTTATCTTCCCCATTTTTTTCCCATCATAAAAAAGGTGCTCCATTATCTGTGCAAATTTTAACATAAGCCCTCTTGAAACCATTAATTGTTTACATAATACTGAACTATTTAAATTGGAAAAAAAACCTATTTCTAAGGGAGGAAAAAAAAAAACTTATGAACACGGGAATCCCTTGCCCTCTGAAAGGAATGGTTTCTTTTGAACCTAGTGAAATGGTCTGTTCAGTTACATAGCTAAAACCATGATTAAAAATTCAAGTACAATAATAAAATTAAGCAAACTACATTCTTACAGCAAGCTGCTACAATAAAATGAAATTAAACATGCTTTTTGACTTAAAAAAGGAACACTTGATGTAGCAATAAGAGCACAGTTTGGTATGTGCATGGTTTGACWGGCTTTCCCAAAACTTTCACAGATATTGGTACTTGAAGACAAAACCTATCCGAAAAGCATATCATACAATTAGATTGCAAGAGGCTGTGCAAGTTCAGAAAGCTTCTAACATCCTTCAGAACACACTAAGCTTAATTACCTTTAAAGTTCAGCTACCCCTTAAAAATAAATAGAGAGGCTATGCAGCTTCTAGTATACATATATGGGTGAGAAATATCACTAAGATGTATGAAAACAAAGTGTTGTACAAGTAAACCGGGTTCCAGTAGTATAAAAAGGAATCTAAAGCTAAAGGGATGGTTTTTCCTTTTATTGGTTTGGTTGCGCAGTGTTACGGAAATTTTTCTGAAGTCCACTACTTAAGACTTACTGGTAACAGACATGGAAAAGGTGAGGGAAGGAATTAGTTGGTACATTATTGATTTCCTTGCAGTTGYACATAGAAATGTCTACAGTGGTAAAAAAATAAAATATCTGCATTGTTCAGAAGAAAGCAAACACCAATCAGTTTGAGATACCTTGAAAGCCCCAAGCTAAAAATGTATTCTAAATGATGATTCTGTTACTGAAGAATCAATTAGAAGAATCATCAATTTACTTTTCATAAAGCTTATGAATGCAAACAGCTTTCTAACAATCATATGGCTCTAGACATGGCCTACAGGCAGTGTTAGTCTGTATCAATGAGAGCACAGGTACACAAAATCACAGCAATAAAACCTTTACAATTTGTTGTGATTTTTCTATGTACTTCTGAGACTACAAATGCACTTGAAGGCAAATAAATTAGAAAATGAAAATTAAAGCAGTCATTACATACTGCTAGATACACTTGTGACTTTGCTAAATAATGCTGAAGACATTTCATTCTCAAGCAAAAAATAAAGTCAGGAATCATGTCTGCTTCTCATGGTCTTCCCTAATTTAGTTTGAACTATCTTTGCTGTGTCCTTTTCTCATCATCTTTTCAAGCACCCAACAAAATGCAATGTTTTTTTTGAAATGGTGAGCCACATGAACATTCCTTCCTCAACAGTTTCTGAAGTATAATGCCCATTCCCTCTCCTCATTCAAAAGTAACTGCATTTCCAAAAGCAGGGTTTGCAAGAATGACCTGTGCACAAAGAAAAGTTGTTCAATTTCTGAGGTGAGAAAGGGAAGGAGGGGGGAATAACTTTGTTGCTTTTCACAAATCAAACACAAAATAACCCCAAACAAACAAACAATAAAAAAGGCAAGTGAAAAAGTGACTACACAAGGTTTAGTGCATCTGACTGCTTGATTTGCTGTTACCAAGACAGCCTAAAGATACTCTAACAAAATTTGTGTTCTCAAAGCTGTGCAGCTCTCTTCATGAAATTACATGCCATCTGGAAACTTTAGAGAGATTAACTGCTGCAGGTAACTTTTCGCTGTACTTTTTAGTAAAGCAGATCTTTGATTAWGAGTTGCAGCCCGGATGTTAGAATTTTTATGTGATTTTTAACATTACAAATTTAGTTGTTCCTGTGGTCTGATGAATTGTTTGTGGGTGTCTGGACTACATACATAGTAAGCAGGTAATGGAATGCATCTATTATGGCATTAACCAGATATTGGATTCTAAAGGCTTCCAAACTTTTTAAGAATTTTTTTTTTTAAAAAGCAACAATGGAAACTTAGTTGTTTCAGTTTGGTGATGCTGAACCACCAAACAGCAAGAATTAACAAATTAAGTAACCTGACTTTCATAGGGAAGGAGGGGTTTTTTGATTTTTAAAAATGCAGTCCTAAGTAAAACCTATCACATGAACTTCAAATGATTTTGAAATATAAATCATCATTTTACCATTTTGTAACTGCTAGGAACAACAAGTTTATGAGGAACTGCATTGGAAACAACAAATAGATATAATTAATGAGCATATCAGAATTAAAAATATTTTCCTTATACAAGTTATTTAAATTTTAACACCTTAATTCTTACCCTTCTGTACAAAGCTTGCACGCAGTTTAAGTAAGATTCTGACCATCCTCACTACCAAAAGGAAGTGTTCAAAGCAAAGATTTGTACACACAATAAGCATTTTCAGATTAATAATCTATCAAAGGGAATAGTTCCTTCAATCAGTGGAAGAAGTATTTTAAAATCTTAAATCAAGGGCGGGGGGGACAAAGCCTTACATGCTAAATACCAGCTGTAGGTACCTGTATGTAGAATTGATAATTAAGGTAATCCTAACACACAAAACCAGCTCCCAGACAATGCTATAGCTGCTACAGTCCATGGCTTGCTCATCTGAAGTAGTGTCTTTGTTGCCACATTTTACCTTTGTTCCAATACATTTGTTTATTTCTGATGTGCAGATACACATTTTGATTGGAGCATATATCCAAGTCTCAACCTTTCCTGCTTTTGATTTTTTTTTCCTTTTACAGGGAGTTCTTTTTTTTTTGTCTCTTAAAACTTCACCATTCTGCGTCCCCAATGGCTTTGGAAAATACATAATCTCTTCCATTAAGATTCATGATGCCATCTTTGAGATGAAATTTCCATTTGTTTTTACTTCTGTGGATCTAAAAACAAGGCAAAAACATTCAATTATTGTTCTACATCAGAAATAGGTAATAATGCATAAGTAAACTACAAGGGGAAGAAAAAATGAAAATAGCTACTCGACATACATTACTAAATTATTATAAATACTGAATGCCACATGAGTCTTTAACTCCCTTAGGGACAATGACTCCACCACCACCCTGGGCATTCCAATATTTAACAACCCTTTCTCTGAGGACATTCCTCCCAAGTCCCAGACTATGTTTAATTTAAAACTAATGATAACAGAACAAAATTCAGTCTAAAGGTAGAGGAGTTGAAACCTTGAAAAAAATTTAAAAACCCCAATAAAACAAACCCCATCACATTCTGTAAGCACAGAGAAAATAAATACTTGTCATCTATCAAAAATCACATCTGAAAGAGCAAAACAACAYCAGATGACCAGATACTCAAAGAAAGCAAAAACTTTTCAGAAAGTTGAAATGCTATCTGAAAGAGAAGGTTATCATAAACTTTTGCAGATGTAACAAAAATGTAATTAAGATGGTCTAGAAAAAGTAAAAATTTTACMTAAGTCCTAAAACCAGGAAACCCTGGTGCAATTTTTCAATTTTATCAGGCATAGAAGTCTCACCATCTACCATTAGTGTTGTCGAAACTGTAACATAGCACCAAAACAGCTATGACCATATCACTCTACTAATTATTTGTAAAACAGAATTTGGTCTGTTCTAACTTTAAGCTGAAAAAGTAAGTCAGCAAATAAATGAACAAGGAAAGGTCTGCCTTATACACAGTACTTGTCCTCCTAAATGGCATTCCACAAAAATCCCTCATCAGAAGAATTTTAGCTACCATGAGGTTAGAAGGAGGGTACTCAGATGAACAAAAAACTGAATGAAGATTGAAAACCAAGGGTAAGAACAGGTTTTACAGCAAAATAAGTTAATTCCAGCAAAGATTTGTGCTGGTTGGAGTCTACATAGTTTAAGAGCTCACTAAGGTTCTGAAAAATGACCAATCATACTGATGATACAAAAAACCAGTTACTGAAGAGCAGCAGAACRGATGTTACTGCGCTAACTCATTGTGTAAGAAAACAATGGTTGCATTCAATGCATAACAATGGAGAAAAAAATCAATTTAAAATCACATGGACAATAAAAATGATGGGTTTGAATTAGCAATTACAAGTCAAGAATGAGATTCCAATGTTCTAAGACTTTTCCATGAGAATATAAGTTCTGTGTTCAGCGGGGCCAAAAGCAATATGAACTATTGAAGAACATTGCTACACCAGTAAATACATTGAAGKGTTCACCTGTGCTCCTCTGTAAACCTTCTCTACCCTTATAAGTAAGATAGAAAAATAAAACAGACCTGGAGAATGATAGTAAGAGCCAAAAAACGTTTGAACTGCTGTATAAATAACAACAAAAACAAAGTGCAGCTCTGATTTCAAAGATCTGACTGAGGAGGGTTATGATGACCTGGAGTATCATAAACAGCACCAAGACAGCAAAAAGACTCTACAGAACTAGGAAGTATCGTATCAAACGMATGGGTTTGAAAGCAAGGTGATCCTCCACACATCACACAATACATTTATGAAACTGCTTATCACAGTTTTCAAGGTTAGAGAAAGTTTTCAAGGATTCAAAAACAATCAAATTGATTTCTAACAAGCAGAGGAAAAAAATCCTCTGTGGGCCATTTGAGAAGAAGGCACTATCTCTTCCTCAAGCGACAGTTCACAGGATGGTAAAAAGCTCTACATATGCACTGCTACCTGTCTGCCCTTGTCTCAAAGGTCCAGAGGCAGCCACCATCAGCTGATGCAGGACATTAGGCAGAAAGGAACTGCTCAGATCTAAGCACCTTATGTACCTTTGAGACAAACAGAATCAGACAAACGATCGCTTGCTAAGAGATTAAGTCCTTTCAGAGCATGTGGCTGGAAGTTCATGATGGACACTGTTCCCTAAGAAATTCCCATTCTTAATTTTTAAGAGGGTGAGGAGTTCAGAGTCGTTCCTGTTGCTCAGCTTCAGCAGCTTCTAAAACACTTTTCTGACTGCTGTTCTGAGGTCACTCACTATTCCCTCACAAATGGCCTCAAAACAGTTTTGGATTATAGCCTGGAGGAAGACAGTGCTGGGGTGTAGATACTGTTAACCCTTATCTTAAATTCTACTTTGAATCTGATGACAAGTTAAAGCAGTCAAGCATAACTGAAGACTYGCTAACACAGCCATTCTTTGAAACATAGGAGCCTTTATTCAACCAGCTTACAGCTTTTCTTTTCTGCTTTAGAAAGGATCCTTATTCATTGTAGTCCAAYTAATCATGGATAGGAAAAGAAAAAATCCACACTGAATAATCTTTTTGTGTACTACCTCAGGCAAAAGGTGTCTGAAATTATCTAGACACATTTTGAAAGATTCCAGCACAGAGGTATCTTTGCATATTCCAGGGAAAACGTGATCCTCTGTAATGACTAAATTCTTGCAGGACAGCTCAGCAGAATTTAAAGCAAAACAAGCACAAACAATCCACACTGCCATTTTGTATTGCACAATGCGTAGCACAGAAAGACAATTATCCTCTGGTAACTAGTGTATCATTCAGAAAAGATATTTTTAGTGATCAAGGAACAGTTTTCCACAAGTCTAAATCCTGATGRCTACTTCTCCTCCTGTTCACAGCCACAATAAATGTATAAACTTATAACAGTTCATCTYTCCTGAGGCCAGAAGACTGCTCTTTTTTTAAGGGGCACAAAAAGATAGAATGAAAAAAAATAAAATGCACCCAAATTTTTCTAAGCTTTATTCATTCCCAAGTTTAGTACAAATATGGAACACAAACCTGTTTTAAAAACAATAGGTAATTCTTACATTTTCATTCATATTATAGTCTTCAGAGATCTACCTGTAGTTAGTCACTAAGATACTACTTAAAAATTATGATTTAATAGTAAAAACAGAGAAAGCAGAACTCTTGGATTGTTTTTGGTAGAGATTTACCTTATCATACTGGCACACAACAACATTTTCTGTATCAAACAGTTCTTGTCCTTCCTCATCACTCACATCATCTTCACTGTTCAGAGGCTCCTGAAAGAAATATATGCAAAAATTTGTTTGGCAAGATTTGAGCTGTTACTTTGATTTCTTACATGAGGCTACAGTGTCGTCTGTGAACTGACAGGACTTAAAATGCAGTTGAGGTGGGGAACATTAGGCTTTCCAACAGAATGCTGATGCTTCCTACCCTCCATCCTGATATGATACCCTTAAGAATTTTAATCTGAAACTTCAGTTTACAGCCCAGATTCTAAGCACTGCAGCCTTATGTCACCAGAACTAATCCATTCTTGCTCTTTCACTGTACATGTTCATACAAAAGTATGYAGGTTTGCATTTTTGTAAGCATCTAAATGGTGGAAAGGTGACATCAAATGTGAATAAGCCATGGAGTTTCATTTTAAAGGGCACATAAGGAGTGATTTGACCTTAAAAATAAAACTCCATGTTTGTTTTTCACATTTGATATACCCTAACTGAAAATAAATTTCAACATACACAGGAAGTTTTTGCAGGAGAGGAGGTGGGGGGAGGGAAAGTTTTGATATGATCTTGAATAAATACATACAAAAATGACTTCTCCAGATTTTCTAGAATGTGTTTTCATGCCCTTAAAAAATTACTTTCGGTTTTTCCTCTTTCTGATAACACACTGTTCAGCTGAAATCCGGTGAGATTTTCTCTCATGTGAATACCAAACATTTCAACAGCTAAAACAACCTCTACTAAATGCAAAACAGCATCATCCAAATACACTCCCAAATAGATAAGCTAAATGGAGGAGGTGCTAGTGAGAAGAATGTTTACTAGAGGTCCTAATTCCACATAAAGTAATGCTATGTTTAATGGATTTCAAAATCCTTAAGGAAGTGATCAACTCAAAGTAGCTGCCAATGAGCAAAGAAAGCAAAAACAACAGATTTCTGAGATGCTGGAAATGAAATCTTGGCATATTAAAAYCCCTCAAGAATGCTAGCACTAGGGTTAAGGGACACTTAATATTTATGCATGACAACTTAATAAGRTAACTATTAAAACATTCAAACTGCCATAAATGTTGAACAATGCAAGGGAAAATACGAACCCAACCTGTAATTTGTAAAAGAAAAATACTTTAAGACACCACTGGAAATATACTACAGAAAATCTGGTTATTTGCCAGTTTTACCTTTTTGCATGGGTGATACAGACTCTGAAATGCTGTTCACATTGGCATTTTAAATGGAATCTAAAATAACTGGAAAGGCTGTAGAGTAGTTTGGAAGCAATCTGGCAGTTCAAAATTAAGTTTAAACACAGATTAAGGGAGTACCAAGCTTCCTGTCTGAGACTAAGTATCAGTACATTTACTTAGGTAGAGAATGGGGAAGTGCTACTATTTCATACAGTTTCTTATTCTTGTGGCACTTTTTGGTGCAAAACACAAAAACTCAGTAAGAACAACTGACTGAAGTCCAAAACCAAGCCAACCCAAAGCCTAAATTAAACACATGTTATTAAGAATGCAACAGCTCACTCCTGTTTCTGTCTCCTTATTTCACCAAATCAAGGTCAGATGTGTTTCTAGAAAATGTTTTATAATCAAATTTGAATTCACAAGCTTGTTCCTGTGTAACAAAAAGCAATGGAATAGCCAGTGTGATATAYGTCAGACCACATCTGCCGGTGCCTTCAGTGAACTAAATATTGCTCTCCTTTTTATCAATCTTAATACCTTCCCAAGAGGAGCTGACCTTAACGCCCAAGTGGAATTGACTATTTCTGTTTGCTCATGAAGGTTTCATGATTTCATGACTGCCGTCTCCATAACATCAAAAATATTCCTATTGAAGTTTTTGAAATGGCACTGGTGACAGTTAACTTTTGCTGTGTCACTCACACCTACCCCTGCTGCATTTCAAGGTGCCTTGCTAATGCACAGTTTCCACAACTTCAATATTGGAAATAAAGAATCTAAAGTGCAAGGATAAAAGTTATGTTTTTGAAAATACTGAAACATAGTATTATTTTAAATAGATAGTTTTCTTTAAAATACCAACGAAAAAATTGAACTGAAACACMACCATAACATTAAGTTCACCTCTTCAACTTGGCCATCTTCACCCCCATCTTTTTCTTTCTCTTCCTCTTCATCATCATCATACTCTTCTTCCTCATCATCTTCTTCTTCAGATGATGTGTCTCCTGTTCCATCAACTTGGAGAACAAGGGGTGCTTGTGGTTGTGCCTGTTGTTGCTGTGGCTGCTGCTGACCAGCTGCAGGAATCTGTGCTTGAGCTGGTGTAGGGGCAGCCACTGTCGTAGGTATAACTTGAGTTTTATTTCCTGTAAACAGGATCTGTTGAGGCTGAATAATCACTCCTGTCTGCTGGGAAATCCCTCCGGGGAGAGGAGCCAAAACCTGATGGAATATCTTTGTTAGTGCTGTGCACGCTAATGTGACAGACTACCACATCACCGGCTCAAAGAAAACAATTAAAACATATCAATCTGACTTGAACTAATTAGAGAAGAGTTACAAATATTCCACCTATATCAGGTACATAATTTTAATCACATACCTTCTTTCACTACTTGGTGTTAATTTTCTGCATTTTGCATTGCTAAATTTAAGAAAAACATTTTAAAGTCTTTCCATTCTAAAACATGGGCACTACCACCCCGTCTGAGTTCCAAGCACAGCACTGGAATGTTCAAATTCAGGTAAAATATTATTTTAAAAAACCTTTATAAAAATATTAAACCTTTTACAAATTTGTAGCCATGCTAACTGTAGAACTGTGACATTATAACAATCTGACTATGCTAAATTGAATATTAACACAGTCTTGACATATAGTTGACCATGTAGATGAACAAAAAATCTTTCTGAAACATACTGTACTCACYACTAAAATAACCAAAGAGTGTAAGTTTTAGGTATTTTTTTATGCCTGTTATGTGACTCAGAATCATTTCAATTAATAATCACATTTTTACAAGTATGTAGACTAGCACTATGTACATAATGCAACTGTCATCAGGAGATGCACTAAAGAAATTTTAAATGGCAGCCAGTCAGTATTCGGCAAGAATAAAAGTGACATTGAAAACATTTCAAGATTGTTCATTTTAAAAATAAAAACAAAAACAACTACCAAAAAAMCCCCACCACACTTGGCACGACTTTCTCTTTTCTCCAAGTATACCATTTCTGATTTTGTGTTCTATTTCAACTTGCTCACAAAAATGCAAGCCTATTTAGTAATTGCTATCATGTTTTTTTCTTCCAAGTGCATCCTTCAAAATTTTTCTTTACCTGCTGAATAACAGGTGCTTGTACTCCACCAGGCTGCATTTGTGGTATAACCTGCTGCTGTAGGACCACTGGCTGCTGTGGTTGAATAATATACTGAGCTCCATTTGCAGTTCTAACTACTTGGAGGATCTGGCCTGTAGTAAAGTAAGAATCAAATTAATCAAATGTGTAAGTTCACTTTTTAAATTATCTTAGTTTAGAAGTTCATTTCCTGGAAGAAAACCAATGACAATTAAAAAAGAGAAACACTAAAAAGTAAGACCCAGAACGTCTCCCTCAAACCCTTAAAATTACTGTTTGTTCTGAATATTAAGAGAATTACCTGAATTTGTAAGTATCTGCTGAACTGGAGTAACACCAGCAGGGAGAGCCAATGTAGCTGCAGTGGCGGCAGCACTCTGAAATACAAGAAAAGCTTTCTATCTATAGACATAATATTGACACTGTTTCATCTCATAACATGCTGCCTGAACACATTTAACTTTTTACTGCTGTTTACAATGTTTGCACACAAGTTTCTGCAGCTATTGAAATGAAGGCATTTTAACTGTTCGTTATACTACATACAAAAATTACTTTATTTTCCTTCTTTAATAGGAAGAACACTGAAGCAAAATCACTTAATATCACACCCTAATGCAACTCCATGTGGTTTCTCTGTTTGCAAGTTCAGAAGGCAAACCTCTGCCTTCTCTGCTGATCGACTAATTCAGTACAACACTGCATTGCTCATGAGGCAATTTTAGTTACTTAGTTGTTTTTTCAAAGCAGCTAAGGCCTACAAATGTGAAGAAACATAAGGCACTGAAGCAATGTTTGCCCGTCTTTTTTTCACAGGGAGTAGCAATCAGGTTTGCACTTTTCTTCATTCTGTAAGTAACTTGCATTTCAAGTCCCACATCACACAGTTCCTCTGAGTGAATATACACACTGTGTACTGACTGTTCACAGAATGACTAATTTTTTTTTCTCAAGACAGCTGGTTTGAAGACAAAGTGGAACTCTCAATGCATACAACTTGCAAGAAAAYTTAATTCCAACACAATTGTGGGAGGTCCAAACACCAAAATCTGTATTAAGTCCTTTATTTGCAGAGGGTGATGGACTTCTCTAGCTTCAAGGACTCCAAGGATGGACTTCAAGGCTCCAACTTCAGCTGCCTATGGAAAAGCCTTCCTTCCCCTAACATAAGGCAACCATAGCTGATTACTTTTTGCTACTGAAAGTATTTAGATATTTATTACTAGGTAGAGTATTTCCTGTTGGGAAAAAAACAAGATCTCCCCATACTGACTAGTCAATATAACAGTTACAACTGCTAAGATTAGAGATAGCTACCCAAAACTAAAACATGCTTGTGTGCATCCTCACATCCCAGACAAAGGCAGCTGAATGAACTCTCATTACTCTCTGCCTTCCAAGATACTCAGTCTGTCAGATCCACTCTTTTATATCAATCTAAATGTTTCTAATAAACACAAACAGTATTTYCTAATTGACTGTAACTCTTTGCTGAACAATAGTTCTCTGTGTTACACAATTCATCCTCATTCTGACAGAAGTGGAGTTTAAAGAGGTTGGCGTRCTCATTTTTCCATACTCTGAAATAACTGAGACAGGACAAAAACCATTTAACTGTTGGACTTTTTAAGTTACAAACCCCTGTGAAATGGCTCTCAAACATATAAGAAAAAGGTGAAATGTATCTGTGCTCCTGGCTTGTGGGTAAATCATGCTATTTAAGTAACAAAGTTCAGGCTCTTTTCTGTAGCAAGATCAGCACCTAATGGAAAAGGCTAAGAAGGCTGTTCCAGCTTCAAAACTTGCTGCCTCATGAAACTTTGCTTCATATGCTTTTACTATAGAAGCAGTAAGAATGCGATGAATTCTGGTCATATAACACATATTGAACTTGTATTAGGGGTTGTTTTCAAGGCTTTGCAAACAATTTTACTTTTCTTTAGATTAAGCCAGGGTATTTAAAGCAAGATAAGATATGCAATATAAACCTCTAGAGATAGAGTACAAGAAAAGCTTATATGACCAGACTCAATTCTATATGCTGTTACAAAATTAGTGAATCAAATTAATATGACCAGCAAAGATCTACAYGAAATGCTAAATCATCTCTCATTCAACATTAACTTAAGTTTCAGAGCATTTAATGCTTTTTCCTGCATCTAGCAAATACAGTATGCTTGCATCAGTTAATGGTCATGTGCTGGTATATGAGCATATCATCCTGTAGATTCATACCAACAATATTCCAATTTCTGATTTTAAAAATGTTTTGGTTAGACACATTTAAAGCAGACAATCAAGTTAAGTGCTAGATGTGTTATCACAGCTGATGTTACGGATTACTGTTTCTAGAYTATGAGCGCAGCAGCAAAACTCAGAAAGATAGCAGATAGTTTTACCAGTGTGTCTTGAATTACTTCTAAGCATCTGATGACTAATATCAGATTTGTGTTTACTGCTTAATCAAARTAACTTACATAATGATAGTGTAAGCCTGTATAAACTTCTGTTTCTCTTACCATGCCTGATGCATTCATATGTGGTATCAGCTTGGAATCTGGCACAATAACCTGCTGCTGAGGTGCTAGAAACAAAAAACAAAAACCAAAAAAACAGCATTTAATGAAAAATACAAATTCTGCTCAAAATAACATCCAAGCCAGAGTAACTTAGGAAGACTATCAGCCAAGCATCAGCTGAATGTCTGAATGTCATCACAAATACTAAGCAGTCTCTGGTCTTACTAAGTTTTACTCTCAAGGCAATATTCAACAGCAGCTGAGGGTTGATATGACTACTTCATCTTTACAGATCTTATTTCAAGGGCTTCAGTTAGCTATTCTGAATCTAAGTAAAGCAAGACTGAAAATGTATTTCTGAAATTAAATGTATTAGTGAAATGTTGATAAAATTGATGATGTCCAATATCAGAGTTCTTCAAAAACGGAAACTGTAAACTCTTAAAACAGTCTTAAACAAGGATTATGACAAGATGAAGAGTAACAGGATGCTGCAGTTAGCCTTAGTTATGTGCCGTCAGCATAGCTGTAAGCTAATGATCTTCACTGCCTAATGCAGCAGAAGCAGAYGGAATGTGTTAAACCACCTGTCCCACACAAAAAAGCAGTTTTGATGTGCTAAAGGAAAGAGATAACGAAACTATACAAACAACCTGTTGATCATCCAGAATTGCATGTATCCAAGTCCGGAACAAAGAGGTTGTCACTGTTGTTGTCATTACCAGTGACAGTAAACTTGAAAGCRACAGAGCAATCTGAATGAATTAATGATTGACAAACTATCCTCCATCCAATTCTCCAACAAATGACAGTTAGGAGTACTAGGAATTAATGTTTCTGGAAAACATTCTGTGGTAGGAAGCCTCATAACCTTGTACAGAGACCTGAGGGCAGCTCCAGTGTTCAGGGAAATGAAGGAGGGCAAAAGATTACAGAAATGTCATGAACCTATGCAAGGACCACAGAAAGGACAGCAAGAATCAAAGTCGATCATCCTGATCCCTSCCTGGGACTGCACCAGGTCATGTGAAGAACTGCTATACCATCTCCAGTATGGAACAGGGAAGYAATTCATAAAACTGCATCTCTGTGATGACAGTGCTTTGATATCCKATTTTCACTTAGTCTCCATGCTGTCATTTGGTCATAAGCGTAACGCTGGGCAACAATAAACCAGCTTTAAGTGTCTTCCCATGGGCAGGATCTTCCCTACCCCGGGAGCACAGGGAATAATCTCCATGTTCCAGTGCAGCGAACGCGGTGCAGCAGAGTCGCGGCTGCTCCGCCAAGGGGCCRCCAGAGGGCGCGGTGAGCGACCGCCCCGCTGAGCCCCCGAGCCTTTGGAGCCGCCGTGTTTAATATTTAGAGGCCTTCAACTCAAAATTAATTTTATCCCAACACACAAAACTGATTTATGTCTAGCCAAAACACAAAGTACTATGAGAAGAAAACGAGAAACCAACACCCATTTTTCCCTTCTCCTCAAAAAGTGCCCCAAACCAACCACAAAAAAACAAACCAAAAACACAGCATGAAAAAAAACCAAAAACCAACAACTGACTCCTAGTCACATTAGTTCTATACCGGATGGAATATACGGTGATTGCGTTGGGCTGGTTCTGGGGGGAGACAGGGAGGGATATCAATTCATAGCTATCTTTTGTGCCTGTGACAACACAAGTTCTCTGATCCATGAAATCTGATAAGACTGAAGTCTGTGACTATACCGCAGGTAAGTATTTTATATCACTAATTTAATACACTGAAAACTCCTTCAAGYCTTTCATAGGCAGCAGATATATTTACTCAGCATATATGCAGTAAAATCCAGTAGTATTTATGTTAGTTTTCAAATGAAATTATAATTGCGGAGATTTTTTTCCTTAGATTATTAATGAGAAATACATAAGATGGTAATTACAAGAGACAATACTGCTATGCCTAGCTAAAATATAATTTTGTACAACCACATCTRCAGTGCATTCTTTTAAGACCTAAAAATACCTACATACACTCAGACTATTACAGAAGCTTTTTCATGTCGTAGCATTGAGTTATGCTAACCAATTATGGCTTTTTGAAATAATTTGCTCCTAATGACATTACTACCTCGTGACTAAACTGTCAACTGCCTATGTATATGGGCATGWATTTAGAGTTACTAAYGGAATTTTGAAAGTCATGTGYTCTGAAAACATGTTTTGTTGTAGGAGACTAAGAGAAGAATGCAGCTTTCCAAAAATCTTCTGAAGAATATGACTTAAATACCAAAATAATTTTCACCAACAGTTTTCTTGACCCATTACATAGAGGCAAGTAGAAAGACAAAGTTAGCCATAAGATAAGCACCCTGCCCTAGATTTAGAATATGCTAAGGAGCTGAGCTAACTTCAGAAATCTTTTTCCAGAGTGTTTAGAGATTAAGTCTGACCTTGTTGGGATGCTGGAATAAGGACCTGTTGTGGCTGAGACTGCTGCTGCACAGTCTGTTGCGGCTGAGGTGTGTGATGGTGGTGGTGATGATGCTGCTGTTGCTGCTGCTGCTGTTGCTGTTGTTGCACCTGCAATAAAAGCTGCTGCTCTTCTGAATGGAAGCCATCTACAGCCTTAGACTGCATCAGCTTGTTCTCCCACAGCTAGTTTGGAAAAGGAAAAAGAAATATCTGTGTAAAACTTCTACTCAACAGGATTTGTAACAACGTAACAACACTACTCCAAAATTTTTCACAGTTTATTTTGTGCAAAATGCCCAAAAGCCTTCAGGCAGAGACAGACAGAAGGTAACTCCACAGAGTTAAGAAAAGGAACTAAATATCCCATGTCAGTCCAAAATTCAGCATTGACATTCTTTCTTTTTTCCAGTGTAGAAGTTTCACAACCCTGACAGAGGCATGAATTGAGATAAACTGCTAACTTTAAGACTTCAAGTTTTCCACTTTGCTACATTTTTTCTTATCTATTTAATCACAAAAAATAAAATTAAAAAAAAAAATCTTTATTACAGCTTTCTTCAAGCCATTTCTTCTTAGAACTTCTCAATAAAAGTTGCTTAAAGACTACTGCCTCATAACACGTTTCAACAGATGCTACCAGTATACCTAAGATAATACTCTTTACGATCATACATATAGTTTCTACCACAATACCAAATTCATCTTCTGCAACTCTACAGCTCTTTATGACAGCTGCCATGTCTGCAAAGGACAGATACAGATGCAAAAAAACAGCTCTTGTAAAAAGACAGCAATACAAGTATTCTGTAACACATCAATCAAAAAGACTGCAGGTACCCTACGAYTCATGATTTTAGAGTTTGCTTGGGCTCCCTTCCTCTTCATTTTCCTTCTTGTCTCTTTAATTTTTTCTGACATCATTTGAAGAACAAGTCTGTGACACAAATACCAAAGCACATTTTTTATAGCGCTCACTGTGTTTCCACCAAGACAGGTCATGGTCTCATGGGAAAAGCCTTCACCTGTTTCTATCTAGTCAAATTCAAAATCTCCCACTCCATCCATTTTTTAATACTTCAAAAATACTGTGAATGTGGGACACCACACTMACTGAGGATGATGAGACAAAAAGTCATCTCTTTTCCCAGTTTTTCTTTTTGCTATTTTGTTTTGCCTTTTTTTCCCCCTGCTTTTTTCTCTCCCCCTTTGAAGGGCTTTTTTTACTTATGAAGAATTTGAAGAAAGCCATAGGAGACCCAGTAGAGGTAAGGTTAACATCTTGCCTTTATTTTGGACCTTTGGTTCAAACCCACTCCATGTAAAACAATTCTGAAACAGAGCTTCAGGCAAATGCGATGCACACAGTGTGATTTATTATGTACCAAACCCCAAAAGACAATACTTCTGCAAACAAACCATATATACAAAAATCTGACAATGCATCCAACAATGCAACTCTTCTTCAGAAAGACAGAAACATCAAGCAGTGCAGKCATTTTATTTTTCCTGCAGGGAAACACTAAAAACTGTCAGTCTCTAAAATRCACGTATTTTCCCCTTTTTTTTAAGATGCAGTGTTTTGGGGATCAAAATAACACTGCATTCAGATGATTGTTTTTATCAGATTAGGSAAAATAAACAAGGTGAGCAGATCTGTCTCAGAGCAGAGACAACAAATGCTCCTAAACAACAGGGCAATTCAAATCATATGGGGTGACAGATATGCAGAGTAATACAATGCTTAATTAACTAAAAATTAATATTTCTACTGTGAACAGTAGCCAGATTTGGAAACTAACTGCTGCATTGGTCTATTAGAAAGAAGTTTTAAGTTCAACTTACTGTTTTGAGTTCCATGAGAACTTGTTCGTCCACTCCTTCATCCAGAAAAACTTCTCTGACATCATTAATGACATCTTCAATTACAGACCTGTACAGTTTAGGCTTAAAAAAAACCAGCAACAAGTTAGCATTTCTTTAAAGAAAATCTGTCACATTAATATTAAAGTAAGATTTCCCCCCACAAAAAAACTGAGTTTCAGAATACACTGCATGTTTCCAAGTGACTAAAATATCCAGGAAGGTGTAAATCAGGAAGAACAGCTYTAACAAGCTGAAGAGGGAAAGGACTGCTTGCCATCTTTTGTGACATAACTGCAGTACAAAGTTACCAAGCCATGAGGAATATAACTTAAAACAGAGAAAAGGAGTTTGCTTTCTTTTTCTGCTTGCAAATGTAGATACTTAATATGCAAAAATACTTGGATATGTGCAAAATACTCCTGTTAAGGAACATTTAAAGTTTGAAAGTATATTAAAGACAGAAAAAGAAACTTGTTAGTGCTCGCYAATTCAACAGGTACCAACTATGGCTCAGAATGATCCTGAGCTGARAAACACCGAAGGTTCAAAAAGCTGGAAGGATTCATGTGAATGTCCTGTTCTTCCTTACATATCTGTTTTCAGAAACTCTTGAAGACAGGATATTAGGCTAGACAGACTTCTGTTTTCAATTGGTACTCATGCTTTTACATTTCAAGTTTTTAATGGGGAAACACTAAAAATGTGTTACTGTTTTATTACACTGCTCTCRCACCAAAATTATAAAAGATAAAGTGAATTGTCTGTTCACTTTAGGTTGCCAAAAGAGATTCTGGAGCCTCCATTCCTGGAGACTCAACTGCCATCTGGACATCATCCTGAGCTCTAAGTGGCCCTGCTTATGCAGGGAGGTTGCAAGAAGACCCTTCCACATTCAACCATTTTGTGAATTTTAAAAAGAAGGTACAATTTAAAACAGAGAACACTTACCAATTAAAGCACAAAATTTAATTCACAGAACCACATGAGAACTGTACTATGCTCGTGCTGTACCTTTTAAACAGTAAAGCTTGGACCTATCTTTGCATCTGTGATTCTCAGTGAGGTTCTGGGTTTAATTATCTGGACTATCTAATCCCAAGGTAGCACTACAAGCCATATGGTTGATCAATCTTGCAGGCTGTGAACCATATACACTTCACTGACCAAGGCTGCTCCTTGGGCTGGGTGTACACCAGTTTTAAACTGATCAGAAAGCCACAACTGGCTTTAAACCATCATTCTCTCAGCCCCATTGCTTAACACCCTTAAGCAATAGATCCTGAATGATGCCACACACATTAGGTGTGCTGTATATATGCAAAACAATCATCCTGTACCAGCGCCCTGGGTTTGGCACTCCAGGAAGGCTGTGCCTCCAATGCACACACAAGAAATCTGGGCCAAACACAAGCAGTTAAGTCAAGAGGTGCTGGAGCTACAAAAATTTATTGCATGCATTGAAGTATTTATTTTATGCAGACRTTTGCTTAATGCATTCCAGAGTGTTAAATTTGTTGCAGACATGCTAAAGATTGTATTGCACATATTATGGAACTGTTACACCTAAATTACGGAATAATGTAGGGAGACTAGTAGCACATGATTTACTAATCCAGGGAAAATCTGAGTGGCCAAAAAAGCACAAAAAAACCAAGTTGAATATCTCCAGTTTTTAATTGGTTGGGGGGGGGGGAAATAAAACTTAGGAAAATGCATTAAGATTGCAAGGGGATAAAAGAACACATTTGAAACCTGGAAATAAGCAGTATGATGGCTGCTCAGTGCACTATGTCCTTACTATTTAAAACAAACTCCACACTGGGACATGCTCGAGTTATGCATCTTCCCT